CTAGCTAGAAAGATAGAAACAGAGAAATATTCCACACATTGCAAAGTAGATAGATAGATAGATAGATAGATAGTCAGAAAGAAATATTACACATATTGAAAAGGAGATAGATAGATAGCCAGAAATAGAGAGAGAGAGAGATGAAATAACATATAAATAGAAACAGAGAAATATTGTACGCATTGGAAAGTAGATAGATAGATAGATAGATAGATACCCGAGAAAATTTCATGGTTCTCCTATTTAAAATTTGTGATGAATCATAATTCCTAATTAAATTATCTCGAGTTATATCCGTAGAAATTCCCCTCTTGCATCGTTACGTATTTAAGGTTACCAACTTTAGCAAAATATTGTAATAACAATCAATATAAGAATGCTGTTTGTTATTTTTTAGAAGTAAGGGAGTACAAATGAAAAGACTTGAATTTGACAACTTCTATTTTACCTTCTTTTCTTCATTTTCTCACTGAAACCAAGAAGAGTTTCAGATATGTCTTTTCCCTCAAAACAGTATAGTCTATTATTTATGCGGCATTGTTAGGAAACATTAAACACTTCTATCTCCTCTTCTCTCTTTCTCCATTTCTTTCTTTTATTTTCTCACTGAAACCACTTGGCGTCTCTGATATGTCTTTTTCGTCTTTCCACGCAATCATAATGAATTGTCCATTATTTATAAGGTATTGGCAGGAAACGTTAAACACTTGCATCACGCCTTGTCTCTTTTTTATTCCTTTCTTTCTTTCACTTTCTCACTGAAACCATTTGGCGTCTCTGATATGTCTTTTTCGCCTTTCCACACGATCAAAACGGAATAGTCCATTATTTATGGTTACTTTATTTATTTTTTTTTTTTTTTTTTTTTTTGCTTATTTAGTTTTTTCTTTCATTCATTCATTTTTCTAAGTAGTGTCTCTATGTCTTTTCAGTCTTTCTACGCGATCAAAAAAGAATCGTCCATTATTTAAAAGGTATTGGCAAGGTGTAATAGCTACGCTAACAATGAGGGTGGGGGAGGAGAAGTATAATTATAATAACCTATTTCTGCAGATGATTTTTTTTGCTTTATAACAGTACGTAATGTTTTACGGATTTAAATATTCTGCATGGTGAAAATTATCACAAACCGAAGCAGACGTCAGTACAATTCTGTGATATACACGAAACAAATAACGTTTCAGTTACTGGTGAAATGGGCAATGTGTTTGATGTGATGCAATGTTGGAAGGTTTCAGCGTATTTAATTAGTGACAATCAATTTACACAGTTGGGTCTGTGAATAAAATTAGGTTATCAGCTTGAAAATGAGTGTAATGAACAGAAATCCGAGACTGTCCTTGGGGACATTATCAGCCAAATGTTTTGGAGATTCCTTCTAACCGTTATAAGAAAGAACAATAAGGCAGCTGCAATAGGAAGAGAAAAGTAAACAGATCAATAAGACTAGTAGCATGCGGAACATTAACTAAATTTTGATCTGATATTTTCATTCTGTAATATTTTGAATTTAAGGATATTTGCTGGAAAGGAAATTATGTTAAAAATTAAATATTTGTGCTAAGATAAATTCCTCTTACATCATTTGGCTGCAGAATAATTTGTATATATTTATATATTTTAAGGGAAAGAGGCATGACAAAATGGAGAAATGTTCAGGTTTCGTCCTTTAAGAGAGGAGTCAGCAATCTTTTGCTAATTGTGTGACGACTTAGGTTTTTAAAATCCTTCACTGTGCCAACAGCATACATATTTTTATACAAGTCAATATCAATATACCTATTCTAAAATATATTTTAGCATATATGGTCACGTCGAGGTGGTGTAATTGTTAGCAAAGCTTGTCTCGCTAGGACAATTACGAATGAGAAATGAGTTCGATCCTCACTGGGTGCACCTTACTTTCGGCCTTGTACCACATCCAAGCTAACTTGGAAAATCACTATATTTTAGTATATATTAAAATTGAAACAACTAAATAACTTCTTTGCGTTGTAGTAACTATTGGTTCGGACTTCATGATGTCATTTGCGGCTGCGTGTCATAGGAAATTGCTTAGTGTGGCACGCGTGTCGTAGGTTGCCGACCCCTGCTATGAGACTTTTTTTTTATAATGTATATGTGTTTGGGGTATAAAATTTAGGCAATTTCATTTAGATTATTCTTCTTTTTCTTTCAGTTTCCATCATCTTTGCTATGAATTATTCCACAGTATCTGTCTATATTCCTGAGATGAGGTATTATGTACATTATTTACATTATTCGGACTATTGTCCTCATCTTTGTCGCTATATTTATTACAACATTTCGACCGTTGTACGCTACGGCCTTCTTCAGGTGGTTGGAATGTTGAACTAAACCCTTTATTTCGCTCACTGGGGTAGACTGTTCTAGTTCCACCTGCCAATGGATGTCAGTTATCAATTATCTCCTGTTAAAGAAAGGGGTCGACCGCAGCTTACAACACCGAGAAAACGTCATAAGTGGCGATCCAGAGACATTAGATAAAGAATTGGTCAGTATAAATAGTACCCTACAACGTAACAACTACCCTGGGTACATGGCAGCAACCCCAAAAAACTGGGATAGGCGGGTACAAGAGGAGGACAACAACACTCAGAAAACAGTCTGCCTGCCTTATGTGAAGGGGTTATCAGAGAAAGTACAAAGGATCTGCGGTCCATATAACATTAGGACAACCTTCAAAAGCTTGACGACACTTCACAGATATCTCTCTCGAGTGAGACCCCCCCCATAGAGGAGAACATGACTAAAGACTGTGTGTACGCTATCCCGTGCAGATGCGGAAATAAATATAATGAGGAGACAGGCCGCCCCCTTAAGGTAAGGTTTCAAGAACACCAAAAAGCAATAACGCGAGGGGAAGTGGAAAAATCAGGCGTGGCTAACCACATATGGAGAGAGAAGGGAGATCACCGCCCTCTGTGGGATCATGTTGAGATCATAGACAAGGAACACCATTGGAAAATTCGTAAACTTAAGGAATCAGCACATATGCTAGGCCACAAAAGTCTCCTGAGCCGACCAAGCATAGAAATAAATACAATATGGGAACCAGTAATAAGGAGTGCCAGAGAAAAGCGATAACAACAACAAAAATTGCTCTGGTAAAAACATGTAATGATAACAGAAAAAATTGCAATATGAGCACTGGTAAAAATGGTTGCTGAAGACATTAGGTTTATAATACCCAGAAATTCATACACAGATGTCCTCAAGGACAGTGCCATGTGTCCTCAAGGACACATGGCACAGTGGATAAAGGCTCAATAAATAACGGTTCAATACCCAGTTAAGGCAGTGGAGAACTTGGATAGGAGAATTAACAGGAGATAACTGATAACTGACATCCATTAGACATGGCACGTGGAACTAGAACAGTCTACCCCAGTGAACGAAATAAAGGGTTAAGTTCGACATTCCAACCACCTGAAGAAGTCCGGAGCATACTACGGCCGAAACGTTGTAATAAATATGGCGACAAAGATCCGAATAATGTAAATAATGTATTATTCCACATTGGAATAATAGAAGATCTGCAAAGAATGGTGAAACATTGTAAGAACTTGACTCGTGATTAAAGCACTTTCTAAACATTTTCCTCTTAGTGTATTCGTGGGTTTGTCACTAAGAGCCATTTTCTACTATGGAATATTTTATAAACCTTTTGTTCCCTATTGAATATAAAATGGAGTCTAATTTTTAAGCTACTGATAACGCGGTGTCGTATGATGTCTACAAAAGTAAAGTAATTTTTATTTTCATTTTATATGTAAATTCTATTGTATTTTTTTTTATTTTGTTTAGTTTATAAACTAATTTATATATAAATTAGTTTATATAAATTAGAGAAAAATTGTCTACAACAACACAGGGAAAATCATTTATTAGTTACAAACCTAGCAATGGATCCAATATAATATTTTCCAGCCGAGAATGTTAGCCCGAGAAGGCGCAACTAGTCACTCTTCTGGAGGTTAACATCATCCATATTGATGGCAGGCAGAAAAGGTTATCTCAGATGATTAATAAAGATAATTTTTGTTTTGGTGGCGTTAAAATCTTGGGACCATTGCTTGCTTTAGTTAACAACACACGGTAGGTAATATTTTCTTTAGATCAGCTGACAATTTGACCATATCGAACTGATAAGACTTCCTAGCAGGACAGGAGTAAATGGTTGTGTCATTGGCATAGATACTAAGTTGATAACTGATGTCAGGAAATGAAAGAAAAAAAGAAAAAAAGAAAGAAAGAATAAAAACGAGAAGTAAAAGAAAGAAAATCTTACGAGAAACAAAAAGAGAGAAGGAAAAAAAGGAAAAAAGGTTACAAGAAAGAAAGAAAAAAAGAAATAATAAAAGGAAGAAGTAAAATAAAGAATATAGTTTCCAGAAAGAAAAAAGAAAGAAGAGAGAAGTAAATAAAATAAAAAAGATTACAAAAAAGAAAAGAGAGAGAAAAAGATAGGGAAATAAGAGAAAGGAAAAAGGTCACAAGAAAGAAAAAAGAGAAAAAAGAGAAGTAAAAGAAAGAAAAATATTAGAAGAAAGAGAAAAAAGAGAGAAATGGTGGAAGTAAAAAGGTCACAAGAAAGAAAAGAAGAGGAAAAGAGAGAAGTAAAAGAAAGAAAAATGGTAGCAGAAAGAGAAAAAATAAAGAAATGACGGAAATAAAAATATTACAAGAAAGAAAAGAAGGATAAAGATAGAGAAGTAAAAACAGAGAAAGAAAAGAAAGAAAATGTTAGAAGAAAGAGAAAAAAACAGTGAAGGGAAGGAAATAAAAAGATTACAAGAAATGAGAGAGAAAGATAAAGAAATAAGAGAAAGGAAAATGTCACAAGAAAGAGAAAAAGAGAGAAGTAAAAGAAAAACAATGTTAGAAGAAAGAGAAAAAAAAAGAAAAGTGACGGAAATAAAAACATTACAAGAAAGAAAAAAAAGAGATAAATAAAATAAATTCCTGCCTGTTCCCGCATGCAGATAAACGTCTGTGACCGACTTGAATTTGAACCCCTATTTGTTTTAACTTCACACGTGATAGCGAACAACGATCGTCGTAATCAGTGCAGAACTTTTGTTTTGCGCTGGAGATTCAAGTGAAAGTCAAATATTGACAAATGACAATGAAATAAATTGCTATAGAAATATACTGGCTTGAAAAGAATTAAAGCCCCCAAAAAAGGGAAAAAAAGAGAGGAAATTGTTACATAGGAAAGAATTTGAAAACCATATTAAGTATCTTGGATAATACTTCGAAGTCTTCTACTTTGGTATTTTTCTATTCTCGGATTTCTTTTCTTTTCTTTTGTCTAATTTGAAATCACTATCCGCAGATTTTCAACCTCTTTTACATTTTGCTTTTGTTCATATTTAACTCTTCTTTCTTTCTTTTTTCCTCTTTCCAAAAAGTTTCGTTCCTTCTATTTTTATTCTAACCTTTATTTTTTTATTTCTTTCTGAAGGAAGTTTTCTTATTTTCCTTCACTTTCTTTCTTTCTTTCTTTCTTTCTTCAAACATTTTCCTTTACATTTATTCTTTCTTTCATCTTTTTTTCTTAAAAAGGTTTTCTTTCCACTATTCTTCGTATTTTCTTTCACTTTATTTTTTTTCTTTCTTTCTTTTTCTTTTTCACTTTTTTTTTTTTTCTTTCTTTCTTTTTTCTTTCTTCAGTTTTATTTCTTTTTATTTATTTTCTTTTTCTTTAAAAGGTTTTATTTCTTTTTTTTCTTTCTTTTTTTCTTTCTTTTCTTTTTCATTTTCTTTCCTTTTCTTTTTTTCTTTTTTTCTTTCTTTCTTCTTTATTTTTTTTCTTTCTTTTCTTTCTTTCTTTCTTTCTTTCTTTCTTTATTTATTTCTTCTTCTTTCTTTCTTCCTTCTTTCGTTCTTTCTTTCTTCTTCTTTCTTTCTTTCTTTCTTTCTTTCTTTCTTTTTATTTCTTCTTTTCAGTTTTCTTTCTTTCTTTCTTTTCTTTTTTTTCTTTCTTTCTTTCTTTCTTTCTTCGGAACAGTTTTCTTTACTTTCTTTACTTTTATTCATCCTTTCTTCTTTCTTAAAGACATTTTCTTTCCACTATTATTTATTACTTCAAGCAGTTTTCTTTAGTTTCTTTACTTTTATTCTTTCTTTCTTCTTTCATTCTTAAAGACGTTTTCTTTTCTCTATTATTTTCTTTCACTGTATTACCTTTTCTTTCTTTCTTTATTCTTTCTTTCTTGTATGATTTTCTGTCCATTATTGATTTTATTTGTCGTTTTTTATCCTCTATTTTTTCATTCTTTCTTAAAACCATGTTTGTCCATTATTCTGTTTGCCTTTAAATATGGTTGTTTTAATTCTTTCTTTTTATAACACACGCACGCACACACACGCATACACACACGCATACACGCACGCACACACACACACACTTTCTGACTTTCTTTTTTTGTCTTTTAGATTTTTCTTTATTCCTTTCATGTTTTCTTAGTATTGTTCTAATTTTACGTTCTTTCTTTCTCTATTTTGACTCTTTCTTTTTTATTCTTATTTTCCTTTCTATTTTCTTACAACAGTTTTCTCTTCTCTATTTGCCGTTCGTCAAATGCTTTTCTGCATATTATTCTCATTTACATACACACACACACACGCACACACACACTCTCTCTCTCTCTCTCTCTCTCTCTCTCTCTCTCTCTCTTCTCTTCTCTTCTCTTTCTTGGTTTACTCTTCATTTTCTTTATTTCTTCCTTTCGGTCTTTCTTCATTGATTCTACCTTTTTCCTGTTTGCCTGTTTTTTGTTTTTTTTTTCTTTCTTTTAACTGTCTTTCACTTCTTTCTTTCTTTGCGTTATCTCCATCCAAACCAATATTTCTCCTCACTATCCTTCGCTCTTCGGTGTTGTGAGTTAAAGAAACTTACGGGGCTTCTCGCCAATTTTAATATGGCTTCAGAGTCAAATGCTGATGTTTACTTACTGTATATGCTGTGAAGCTTTCGAAAAAGCTCCATACACTACATACACAAAAATCGAAATACACTCTCAAACACACACATAAATAGGCACCTACATACACACACACATACATAGGCACTCACATACACACACACACACGTGTGCAAACACACACCCAAATCCACGTAATCTCAAATTATTGATTATTGTTTACTGGATTAAAAATGTTCTTCAAGATCACTAGCCATTCTTCAAAGCTGAGATAATTACAGATTAACCGCCTGTGTCTGTGATTGGCGTTCGCATCCAGATATCCATGCAATGCGATCCCTCCTCAATATACTCCAGTGAAACACTAAAGAAAGTGTTGTTTTTTTTTAAAGTATTGCTGATAATAATTTTTTCCTTTAAAATTTTATTGCTGGTAATATATATATTTTTTATGAAGTGTTTCTGGTATTAAAATCTATTTTTTACACTTTCATAGTAGTTTGACTCCAGTCTGAAGGTTAACTATTTGCCCATAGCTGGGACCCTAACAGGTGCTACCACCCCGGCTCAGGATGGACCTAGGGACACCAACAATTAACAGGTGGTTCCACGCTCCTCAAAACCTTCTGATCAGAGGCCTTGCTGTCGGATATAGTTTATGCTCTTACCCAGGATGCGGATGTAGTTTATGGTCATACCCAAGACGGGGGCATAAAATGGATTACTGTAGTCATCTTTTCACAGGAGTTCCCCAGTCTTCACTTTCCATTCTTGATAGCGTTCAAAAACATCTCTGAGTAACATAACTGCACTGTGATTTTTCTACAAAAAAAAATACATGACAATTGTCTTGTTGGTCTTGCCTCTTTGGTACCTCAACTTCATGATTTTAAACGTAGTACTGTATTGGCAGATAGGTTTCGTTATTTTAGTGTTTAAAGCGCTATATGAAACCGTAAGTTCTATTCTAATAGTTTCTTCTCTTGTACCTTCTGTGAAACTTACTTCCGACATCTTGCTTGTCTGTCAATTATAATCTCCAGAAATTTAAATGCAATGTCATTCGTCTCAGGGAATTCTTTTTCCTTCTCCTTTCCCTTCAGTAATGTTTTCTCAGTTTACTTCACATTATTCTCTTTCAATCTGAGTAATCCCTTGCATCTTAGTGGCTTTATCGCCTCGCTTGTGGTGGAATTATTAAAAATAATTTTTAAAATATAAAAGCACTCTAAATAAATATTAATTTCGATATACAAACAACTTAAGATTTAATATTTGAATCAGCTGTTTCATATTGGATGTTGTTATAATCGTGAGAGTTGTACTTCCTGCTCTTCGTCAGGAAGCCTGTACATTCTCAAAATTTTGAACCAAAATATTTTCGTTTTTTTTTATTTTTCTCTTTCATGGACGCCATGATCTTTGCAGTCTTGTTTCGAGACCAAGTTAATAGCCTTTTAAGTTTCCTTCACGTAAATTGCAGTAAAATTTTGAATAAATAAGGATTAAATATTACAGCACCAGAATTTTGGAAATACCAAAGTAACGGGAATGACCCAAAATCGGTGGGGAACCAGTGCTATATACTGAGAGGGGATGAGTGCTGATAAGCTTTCGTGGACATACGCTTGACACTTTCCGCAGGCTTGGAAAGGATTTCTTCTTCAAGCAAAGGTTACATAACTTCACGAGGATTCGGGATAGTTCGGTGTTGATATTCTTAAGGATAAACACTGGGTAATCCTCTGTGTCAGTGGCTTTCTTATGGTCAAGACTTTTGATAAGTCTTGAGACTTCCCGTGCTGTCATGAAAATATTACTGAGATTGTGCTCAGTGAGACGTGGGAAGTTTGGATAGGGGATGTCGTTTGTTATATAACGTTGATTTCGGTGCAAAAGATCTAAGCGAAGAGATTCGCCTTATATGTCGAAGAAGATATGACCTCGAGGCCATTTATAATAGTAGGCACAGACGCTCTGCCTCTGTTGGTAATTTGCTTGGAGATATTCCAGAATTCCCTGGATCCAATTTGTTTTCAAATACATAGCTGTGCATAGCTACACTTTGAATTTTCCAGAAATATTCTTGCAGTGATTGCAGGCAGTTTTGAATGCAGTAATAGTCGAACTATGCCGCTCCTTACAATATATACATACATACATATATATATATATATATATATATATATATATATATATATATATATTGAGGAACTGGTTAGGGTGAGCTATGTCTACAGCGCATTCAAGCGTCAACCAGCTGTTTGGTATTTATTAGACTTTTAGGGGGAGTATAAAACTCCCCATTCCAGAAAGGATCTATTCTGAGACGAGGGCAGCGTGCTTGAAGAAGTTTGAGGGAGTAGGTCTTGGTGTAGCGAAAATTCGTTCTATAGAACGACAAATCAAGGAATTCCTTGGTTTGACAACAATCTGGACACTGTCTGGAGAATGTTCTGACGTGGCTGGTGGGGGGGGAACTTTTGCTAAGCATTTTTAAGGCAGGATGTGATGAAGAGGTCCAGGAGGTTTATCTGATGTCTCGATGAGTCAGCGTTGGTTGGTTCTTCGATGATTTGGACGCGTTCAATATCTGCCTTCTTAATCGATTTTGTTCGAGTGTACAAATCACTAATCTGGTGGATACTGAAGCTAACTGAGGGAAATTCGGTGAGGATATTATAAAGCCTCTCAGATATTCGATCGAAAATTATTGTCCCATATTCGTGAGGACGAGAGAGAGCAAAAACGAATGTGATACTGCGCAGTAACACTACCCTATTGATAGATCCCACCGGTGACAGTCCAGAACCAATTCACAAAATAGCAGTATAGTAGCCCCGACATATTAAACCTGCTGATAGGAGAGTTTCGTTCGAAGTTATTCAAAGGTTCGGATCCCAGACTATGTATTCGAGGATACCTGTCGACTAGGGCACCTAGCCAATCCGTAATGCGCATTTATGCTTATTCGACACCAACAGAGCCCGCCTATGGTTTATACTGCAACTATGCTGAAAAGAGCGTGTTATCTAGCGCCATCAACAATTTGAGGTTGTAGCTTAGAGCTGCCAAATTAACCTATTTCACTCACAAGGCTTGGTATGGTTTCCAAAGATACCGCAAGTTGTGATCGATCCTTCCAGTAAGTCTCCTTCCCGACAAATATGGCGAGATTCGAACCCAGGTCTTATTGGCAGCGTACGAATTCTAACCACTCGACCACGTGCCTAGCACCCTTATATATATATATATATATATATATATATATATATATATATATATATATATATATATATATATATATATATATATATATATATATATATATAAAGGTTTGACCATATTCAAGCTGTTGATCACGACAGATGTGAATTATATAAGAACATTTTGAAACAAGTCTCGCCTATTAACCAGCCCCATTAAAAAAAACTGCACTATGATTTCAGTCTGACGCCGTATAATCGGTGATAAACATTCAAAATTTTATCTTTATCATTTCGATGAATTTTCATTCAATTTTTCACTATTTGACTTCCAACCACACACACACACACATCCTACACGGAACTGTCATATAGCCTGACGTGCTATACCAGTTTAGCTACGAAGGAGCGTCTGGTTAGCAAGATCGATTTTCCGTGTAGTATACAGGTTCGATTCCTCTCGAAGAACGCATATTTTCTATAAGATTTTTGAAATTTAGGGGCTGGCCAATGTTGTTAATGCTGTTTATTATCAACAGAGTATTTATTTAAATGTTTGTGTATATATAAAAAAAAAAGTATAACAATAAAATATATTCAAATATTTGTCGGACTAAGACCATTTCCTCGTGTGTGTCACACGCACGCACACACACCCACCCACACAAACGCATATATATATATACAAGTATATGATTGGTGTATACGGAATAAATTCCAGTCGATCTTAACGTTTATTCCAACGTAATTTCAATAGAAACAAAATGAATTGAATAACATTTCTCTCCTCAATAATTTTAAAATTTTAAATTTAATATAGATTAAATTTTCATTTTTGAAATGGGTAGTTTTTAATTCTAAATTTTATCGTACAATTTAATACTTATTAGTTATAATAAATTCTATTTTAGTATAAACCTAACTTTAAAGAATTTAATAGTTATTATAACCTTACTTTGTTGTCAAGTTCTTTGAATTCTCGTATACTTGTATTTTGATTGGTTATTTCAGCTCATGTGGCAGCGTTTCCCCTTACGAGGGGTGGTTAATTAATTTGAACCTTTTAAAACCTTTATTCTGCAATCTACATTCAACATCACCACTTGATAAGACACCAGGGGTGTTGAAACAAAATGACTATTTTTGTAGTGATTTTATAACATATTTATGTTATAATTTTTAAATAAATAATTATATATATATATATATATCTCAAGGAAACATTAATTTTTAGCTACTTTGCTAATAGAAGAATGACCTGAATTTTTACTAACGTTTAGGTTAGTCTGACAAAGTTACAGATTTACAGAGTACCACTTTTTTTTAAATGTCAATCCATTAAGTACAGTGTCCATTTTTTACAGGAGCTTAGAAAGATTATATTTTTATTATGCGTTTGTGCGAGGTTTACAAGTTGGTTTCTTCTTGAGTAGAGATATTGTTTGTCAAAATGGGCCTTAAAATGTGAACTGTCTTTAGATAAATACGTATGCTCCTGGTGTTACATAAACATATTCTTTGTACATATTCAATTTTAACAAATTGACATGTTGGAACTCAATATAACTTGTAGGAAATTATCACATTTTCAGCACTTTTCATCTCTCTCTCTCTCTC